ATATAATTTTTAGATTTATAGCTTATTTATTTAGCTCAATATAAAATTTCAAAAAGTGTCCATAATACCATGGTACCCCATTATATATGCCTAGCTATACTAAAGATCAACCAGAAAATTTACAATTTTTATAGAAATTTAAAAAAGTGTTCTAAGTTATCATAATCTACTATTTTTAATATACTTAATTCTAAAATTTGTAATTAAGTTAATATGTAAGTTGAAAATAATCTGGAGCTTAAAGCTTATACTATAGTAGTTTTATATGTTTTTATTATATTTTTTATTATAAAATACCACTCATATATTAATAGGTGTGACATATTCTCTAACTGATAATATTTTTTAAAAATTATGCAATTTGATTAACAGTAGATCTACAAAATTAACCAATCATAGAGATTGTCTGCTATGCACAAAATAGTATATACATACAAGTATTATTCTTTGCATCATTTTTGACTTATAATACAAATATGATTTCTTTTTACGGCTTATAATTCCTTACACACATAGGTGAGAATTTATCAAAGATAACAATTAGTGGCTTTATTTCAATTGGGCGAATTTATACTTTAAGTGTAATAATCTCAATCTTGACAAAAATAGAAAGCTGTGCTTGATCATGTACACCTACATAAGTTGCACCTGAAGTTATACCTGCCTAAAATTACTAACCAATGCAGCAAAATCTAATTTCTGGTACATACGTACATATTAATTTCAGTCAATACAACTCCAAGTATTTGAAATTGCAACTTCGAGCAGGTGCCAACCTCGATTGCAATATTAATAAAAGAAAATCTTAATTTGTAAAGCTAGGATAAATATAATGGAGAACTGAAAAACTTTTATTCTAGACAAATTAATTGGATTTATTCATAAAAGAATTTGGTTTTCTTTGTAATGGGTGATTACTGGGTGGTTATAATAATTTGAAGCACATATACCTGTTGCTATTTAGTGAATTCATTCACATTCACATTGATTTATTTTTTAATATCTTATCCTAGACACACAGGGATTACGCATGTGTAATAATACAGGGTTACGTTGTAGTATGTAATAGTTGAATAATATGGGTGGTTTGGATTGTGCTCGAAAGAAGATTTTATAGTATATATTATTTTGTTATAATAACAGAGAATGGCCAAATAAATAGTGATACGAAGATACCTTTATGAACATTACAATTTAATAGGCAGACCAGAAGTGCCATACCTATTATAATTAGCACATATGCCTTATTAGTACACTATTATTATTTTTTATAGAAATTACTATAGCAACACTAGTGATGAAAGAGATAGAAGCAGAAGTATGTAATCTAATGTCATGAGAACATGTGACCAAGCTACAGTTACAAAAAATATCTAAATACCGTATATTCCTGAAAATAAGCTACCATTTTTGGGCAAAAAATTACATGAAAATTTCAGGAATAGCTTATTTTCAAGTAATAGAGGTTTTTGACCATTTTTTATTAAGTAAACGTAGTTTTTATATATGAAAAAGTAGTTTCTATATATAAAAGTCAAAATTGTACTACATAAATCGGTAAAAGTAACTTAATAAAAGTTGTTCAGAATTTAAAAATACATGTATTTTGAAAGTTTCATATAATTTGGATAACTTTTTATTAGTACACTTTTGCATTTTAAATTAAAATTTAAAATGCAAAAGTGTACTAATAAAAGTTATCCAAATTGTATGAAACTTTCAGAATATATGTATTTTTAAATTCTGAACAACTTCTATTATGGTCAAAAATATATTTACTTAGTACAATTTTGCCTTTTATATATAACAACTGTTAAAAAATTTTAAAAAATTCGAAGAGTAGCTTATTTTCGAGTAAGAGAGAATTCTGAGTTTTTGGCTCAAAAGTGAGGGAGTAGCTTATTTTTGGGAATATACGGTAACTCTATTACTATTATTAGAGTTAGAAAAGTTAAAACTAGTATGGTTTATAAAAAAAAGCATTTGTAAAAATAAACCATTAGTGAAATTTATCTAGCAGCTTACTATAATAGTGCTTCCTAAAATATTTGGTAGTAATTATATTATCTGCCAAATAACAAAGTTATTTTACAAAAACTCAAGTCATTTAACAAGCACAATCATTGTAAACTACTGGATAATATTATTATTGTATGATATGAAGCCAATAACTTGTTTATCTGGCAATAAATTTTAATGTATCATTTCTGGACTCTTTGGGGCCCAGAAGCTAATATATTAAAGTTTATAGCCAGATAATAAATTATTTGAATTTTGATTCTGTTAAAATTCTTATGATTAAGATTTTAAACTAAACCCAGTTGATCGAAACTATATAATATTATTATTATTTTTTATTTAAAGTACTATATATCATTTTTTTAGACTAAAGTAAATATAAATTTTGTTGAAAAGAATTCTGATACGCTTCAAATTTCTATTCAGTCGTTAGTTAATAAAATTAATATTAGAAATATTCTTGAAATATGGGCTTTTTAAATAGTTACTTCACAAAAAATCTGTCATTTTGTTTTACTTTTAACAAATATAACACATATTTGCACATGCTTAGGGCTTGTAAATTATGGAATAATTTGTTGACACTTTTTTCAAATAATACTATACAGTGATATAGTGTGTTTTCATATTTTATTTATTTTATCAATATGGTATTGTGATAAATATCTTGATTTATATAAACAACCATATTATATTGCACAAAAATTTAACAAAGGCCAATTACTTGAAAGACCTTTAACAAAAGCAGCTAATGTTTGGTATCTTCTGGAATCTGATCATAGTCAATACAATTACAAAATTATTAATAAACATCAATTTTATAGAGAGCTCTGGGGCATTGCATGTAATATTACACAAAAGGCTATAAAAAAACAAGATCGTACTATATTAGATAAGCTACAAAATATTCTTGAAGAATTGGCTACTACTGATAAGAAAGATGAAGATGAGGAAAATGAGAAAAATAAAGAATATGAAAAAGATAAAAGTGTAAATGAATCTGATGATGATGAAGTACTATTTGATCTTCAAAATCCTCAAAAAAAACCTAGAAGAGGATGATCTAAAGGTACCAAACAAATTAAATCATCTATCGAAGTTTCAAAAAAAAATGAAAATGTTGCATTTGTAGAGAGTATGGACATAATTCAAGCACATGTAAAAAAAATAAACCATCGAGCTAACTATATCAATTATAAGGTAAAAAATCAGAATTACTATTTATTTTGACAAAAAAAATTTTATATTAATATTTAAAAATTACAGACTATACGTAACATGCAGATTTGTACTTAGCATAAAAAACTTTCAAATAATTATCTTAAATTACTTGATAGCAAAGAAAATTTTAATATAATTATTAATGTTGGTAAATCTCCGAATGCTATAAGCCAAAAATTTTTCTTTATTGATTAGACTAACAATAATACAACAATGCTTTAATGTTAAGAAATAAAGAATTTTATAAATAAATTACCAAATAAATCATTTAATTTAACAATTGTCAAGAAAAATTATCAAATGTATTTGTAATAATATGTTAGAAGTGTTAGAAAAGATTGAGTTACCCACCATTTTAAGAGGCTTTGCTCTATATAAAAGATAATATGTAGACAAGAAATTAGTGGAGAAAGATAATTTATTTAATCAAGGTATTCTCGAGCACATTATACAATAAATCAGAAATAAAGTTTTAATTAGGAATTGAATTGATAAAGGTTATTCAAGCATTACTTTTACATCTTTTTATTAAAACAAATTGGCCCTTACTAATGTAGTAAATATAACTAAACTGTAATAAATACTATTATTCCATTTTTCGCAAAAAAAAAAAAAAAACTTTTTGCTGTAAAGCAACTTTCACTATAAATTGATTCTGTTGCTATTGCAACAAAGATTTAAATTGGTAAAATCATTAAAAGGAAAAACTAACACAGCCTAAGCTGAAACTTCGGTGGTCAGTTGAACAAAATATTTTAGGTAGTATAACAAAAGATAACGAAAAATAAAGAGTATGCTTGTTATTGATTGATTGTGATGCTTGAACATCATCATAATTATTCTTTAATCAATTGATTGAGATGCTTGGCTATTATATTATTATAACATTACAAATAATTGATACATATATGCCTAGTGTCACTTCTTTTTCACATCCCAATTTCCAATTACTCTCACATTTTGGTAATTAAGACCAGTTTAACTCAAAGTTCTGTCTAATCTCGTGAATTGAGTATAGAAAAAAAAAAAAAAAACTGATGAAATTGAGTTCAAAACCCTATCTAATCTTCACAATTCATATTCTAGCAAAACTGAAACCTACAAAAAAGAGAAAAGTTGGTTCAAGCAGGAAAAAAAAGAACTGACGAAATTGAAACTGGTACTTATTTTTAAAACCAGCATTCGATGTAATTCCTACACTACAGTACTATCCGGTGCTAATTCGTATTTTGGTGAAACTGAAATCTAAGAAAAGAAAAAAGTTATTTCAAGCATGAAAAAAAAAAGAACTGATGAAATTGAAACTGGTACTTACTTTTAAGACCACCAGTATTCAATCCTACTCTGTCTATTCTCTACACTATCCCTTAAATTGTAACACAGGCAAATTTGCCTGCGAAGATTTTTACTAATTTTTTTAATATTTAAATTTTT